ACTTTCAATATTCTCCTCCAACACCATAACTCAAAAGCATCAAGTCTTCTTCAGTCTTCCTTATTCACTGTCCAGCTTTCATATGCATATGCTTATTGAAAATACCATGGCTTGGGCCAGGTAGACCTTAGTCCTCAACGTGATGTCTTAGCTATTCCAACACTTCAACCTGAAATGGTATTCTTGGGGATATTTGGGGAGACCGTCTGCCCTGGAAGCTAGCCTCCTTCCTAATCAATGCCCCTTCTTGAAGCTAATGTTGCTCTGCTTTCAGTTCTACACTGTTGCAGATGAAAGTTTAGAAACTGTCAGGCCTGAGTCTGAATCCGCTTGATGGGTAGAAGGTTCATTATGCCCCAGCTTAGAAAGGGTTCACTGAAGAGAGAGGCTCTGGGGATTTTATTCAGGAAGGAAGGGTCATTGTAAACTAACTGAGTCATAGAGGATAACTCAGTCATTGTGTATAGATGTGTGGAATGTGTAAATGCTTTGCTTGGTTGTTTAGATGACCAGAGCAGCTAGGACATTTAAAAGAAGGGAAGTATTGTTTTTGAGGATACTTTGACTTGCTCGACTGAGTCTTACCAAAATCAGAGTTTAATAAGATGCTTCTTAGTGATAGAATGTGGAATCAGCATTTCCGTCTTAGACTCTCACTTTAATAAAACAAATACTCAGCTCAGTTTGCAGTAATCCTAGTTCTCGGGGGTCTTTCATGACTACATTTTGAAATAAAATTTTGTTCAAAAGATTCCAACCAATCCCAGAGGTCAAATTGTGTCATTGAAGGGACACGTAGACTAGAAATGGCGCCCACAGGCTAGGATTTTCACAACTTTGGAGTCACATTGCCACCCACCTAGCCAGCAAGACAGGGCTACCACCAAGGCGAGACTGACGTGGTCCTGTAATTCTCATCACTATCCCAAATGTGACAAGACATTCCATAGGCTGCGTCCTTAAGCAAAGGAGCCTGGGTGGTCCAGTGGGTTAAATGTTGGGTTGCTAACCCAAAGGTTGGCAGTTCCAGTCCACAGCCGCTCCTCGGGAGAAAGATGCAACCGTCTACTCCTGTCGAGATTTTGTCTCAGAAACCCTCTGGAGCCGTCGTACCCTGTGCTGTTAGGTTCACGATGAATTGGAAATCAGCATCAACTTTGGCAGTGGGCCATCAAGGGACCACAGACCTAGTTAGTCTAGGGGTTCTCAAAACTGAGCATGCGAGAAGCATCTGCTGAAACCCGGATGCTGTTGAGTGCCGTTGAGTAGGTTCCAACCCTGTATAGGGTTTCGGAGGAGCAGCTGGTGAGCTTGAACCACCAACCTTGCAGTTCAAACTGACATTGCAGACCGGAGCATTAACCCGCAGCGCCACACCAGGGCTCCCAGATGGCTGGTGACAAAAGCCTTCTGGAATTAGCTCGTGGTAACTGTTGCACAAGTTCATTAAATTATGAAAAACCACTGAATTGTGAAAGTTACAAGGGTGAATTTTATGAGAATTAGTTTAATTAAAAAAAAGGACTGGGCCTTACGCAGCGATTCTGGAGCAGTAGAGGGTATGAGGAGGCCCGAGGGTGTACATTTCTAGAAAGTTCCTAGGTTTTGCTGGATTACACAGAGGAACACTGTCCGAGCCCATGACTCAACTCAAAACCTAAATAGGGGACAACAAACAAGATGGCGGATCGGGTGGACGT